TTTTTTTTTTTTTTTTTTTTCGTTCGTGGTTTCCTGCTAAGGAGTTTAATTTAAGCTGCCATACTATGATTTCAACGTAAATAAGAGGGTTTCCTCATGCTAGCAACTTGGTTTGAGTTCTTTGACAGCAACCCAGTTTATATGGGCCGCTTCAGGATGACGTTGGGTTCAGCTGCGTGTCTCTTTCTTATCCTTTCGGGCTTGCGGTCGTGGCAGTCAGCTGCAGCTAACACCGCCGGACCGCTAAAGCGCCGCGAACTAGCATTGAGCAAGCCTCAACACGCCTTTCGTCAGCCTAGAGCTCGTACTTCCGTTTGCAAGACAGATTCCTGAAATCACACCCCTGGGATCTGAATTGGGAGAGCCCAGGCAGTACCTGGAGAATGACCGGAAGGTGCTGCGCTTCAACACTTTCTGGGATGACCATACCAAGTATGGCTCCCGAAAGTGGCTTGGCAAACAATTTTAGGTTGGGGCTTCCATTGTGGCTTCTCAAAGTGGAGGTAGGTACCAGTACCATTGGGAATTTGAGGAAAGCACAGGGATGGCACAAGGGGGAAAAACGCTTGGCTTTTTTTCCGAGCCTTGGCCTCTCCACGAAGTATGGTATACTAGGAACAGAAGGGGCCTGAATATCACTGCCACTCCCGCGAGGTCACTATTAGTGTGTGGGATTTTTCGGATTCGAGAATTGCATCAATCCTTGTTGCGGCGCAGAAGGACGGGTCATGAATGTATGGAGGTTGACTTCAGCTCAGGCGGCAAAGGTCCGGGTATCTCATCATTAAGTTTTAGTATGTATCAACAGAGAATAATTTCTCAGTAGAATCAGGATATTGTGGCAGTCATTTTCTTAGCTAACGCCAAGCGTCCTTAGTGGATGAGTTTGCCACGAGTTGCAGGAGCTGAGGTCTCAAGGATGACAGAGAAGGCTGAACAAATCTAGCAGCAGCTGCCTTTATGCCTGCCTTGCCAGACATCAAGCGCAGATTTTGTCAGTCCTGTCCACGGAAAGTACCGTCCCGCCCAAAATCACTTCTTGGACGGAAAGGCTCTTGGGCAACCAATAGAAGGCTTTCATGTGCAGGTACTACACCATGCACTACTACCTAGCGGACGATACCATCGAGATGCTGGAGAACTTGCCCAGGACATTCGGGGGCTGATTCTTCCAAACTCATGGTCTTCGTAATAGTTATGCTAACTGTCACAGGAAGCACGATAATGGCAGTAGGAACAGGAATACAACAGTAACGGTCGCAATGGTGGTTAGTCTACTAATGCTGGGAACAACATCAGCCGTAATTAATACTTGTAACGCAAGAGTTTGTAGTACTCGTGAAGTCGGAACCATCGTAAGAATCGCATTGATCGAAGCATTTGTATTGATACAGCGTCGTTGCTAACAGTATTGTTGGTAGCAAGAGACATGATAGTAATAATAGTCTTATTAGCAGTACATGTAGTAGAGTCACAGCAACAGTAGTGGGGCCTCCGACCACAAGGACAGTAAGTCTACAAAGGGGGATTGTAGCAGCTGGGAAGACTGAACTCTCGTTGACGACTCCGAGTTTTCAAGCCAGTCCGTATACAGACACAAAAGAAGGGCGTCGATACTGCCCCTACATGCCCATGAGTCGTCCTTAAGGATACCCCCCCTTTCGAGAAGCTCCCATTTGTGATTCCAAAGCCATTCAGATTTTGGATCATTGCTGGATGATGATGGTCAGTTTCATAAATCCCCATGTGGAATAGATAAACGTGATCCTGAACAACGTCCCACACAGCAGGCAGAATCCTGAACCCTGCCATGGCTCACTCCGCGTATTGGCTTGTTTTGCTCAGATTTGTTGGGAGTATCCCGGTCCCCCTAGCGTGAAATCCCTCCGCCCCTCATACTGAAGATGTTTCCAGCATATATTGTCTCTCACAGCTCATGTGACATGTAAGGGTAGGGAGGATTTTATGTTTAATTGGGGTGTTCAGTAAGGCCTGTTCCCCTTTTTGGGGTTCTAAGTTCTTTAGGAAATTTAAGCCATACTCAAAACGTGGGACCTTTGTAGTCTTGGATTACAGGGGATCCTAGTTAATTATATAGGGCCACTTGATTACCTTTGTTGCCTACATTACTTTTGCTGCATGGAGGTTGGTAGGCCATAGGGGATTGTAGGGGAGCATTATAGGCGGTGTTTAGGGAGATACTAGGAGTTAAGACTGTAGATCATATGGTTATATTTTGGGGTTACTCCATGACGTGGCTTTATACAAAGCTAAGGCGTATCCCCCGGAAACCCTTCCTGCAGCTTACTAAGGGTTTATGGGAGGGACCCTGAGTAAAGTAGCAGATGGCCAAAGGCTGTGAGTTGAAGGAGTGGACGAAGGAGGATTAAATGCGGGAGGGAAGCAACATTTTCGCAGCTGCGATTCTTGAAATGGGCCCCCATAATCTTTCGAAGTTTAGTGCAAACTCGTTCTGCATGCCCCTTGTATGTCCTCTTGTTGATGACAAGCCCCACAGTTCAGAGTTTGAACGGAAAGGGGCTCGTCCACCAAAAAGTGGCCGTCAGGGGTGGGAGCAGTTACAAAACTGTGGTTCTTCTCGTTGAGGAAAAACTGGTCCTACCAGTTTCTAGCCACTTGGTCATAAAACGACTCAAGATCTGCCAAAACTTCATCGGCAGCCATGGGTAGGGTAAAAAGATCCCAAAGACAGCTCTGCTTATCTCAACCCTACGAAAAGCCTTTTAGGGTAGCTATTTATGAACCTCTGAAGTACATAGGAATGCGGGCTGCGCTCCCTATCCAATCTTCTGGCGGCGCTCTCCGCTTCGGAAGAAGCTTGGTTGAAAATTCGAAGCTAGGTCCCCTATGTTTAGGGTTTGGGGTTCAGGATTATGGGTGTAGGGTTTGCGGTTCAGGGCTCAGGATTTAGTGTTTAGGGCTTAGGATTTAGTTAGGGTTGAGGACACGAGCATTGCCCAACAAGCCTGCGTAGCCTCTCACACCTAAACCCCTTAAAATATCACCCAGTAACCATCTCATTTCCATGTTCTTTCCCATTTGATTCTCCATAACAGGCTAGTATCCCTAAACCATAGATGATCCCTATATGATCCCTATATAGTTTCGACGGTGCTTTCCCAGACATGGCGCCTGGAGAAGCTATTAGCGGGTATAAGTATAAGACATTGTCCCCAGAATACCCTCCCCAGATTCAGACCCCTACTAGGCCTTATTGTCAAGCCTTATCGAGTCCTTCTTAGCTCCTTAAACCCTAACGGAGTGTACCTTTGAGTGGGATGGTATTATACTCCCTGGAGCAACTCGAGTTTCACTGAGCGCTGTTCCATGTAGGGCTTTAGGGTTAGTGGCTTAGGCTTTACGGTTTGAGGGGCCTCTTTGACATGCCCTTTCTTTCAGACATGGGTCTTTCCAACAGTATCAGGCCCCCATCACAACGTACTATAGTCCTCATTGTCTCCCTGGAGGTCAGTAAGGAATATAGGAATATAAGCCCTACATAATCACATAATCCCAACGTAATGTATTCCCTTTTCCTCTACCAACCCTAGTTTTTTAAAGGGACTCCCTGAAACGGATTCCGGATGCTTGGAATTCCCCAAACCTCCTAAAGGAATCCGTACATCGCGCCTGCGCCGGGCATGCTCGAGCCTCCTCCTGTCATCTACAAGCCAGAGGAGCCTTTTCTTACTGATTGGTAGGGAATGAGGGAATACATTATTTGGGATTAAAGAGAGATTCAGTTCGTTTATTCCGCGCTTACCACCAGTATGTTCTTCCACTGCGGCGAATTTTATCAGCTTTGTCAAGGGTTTGCCACAGCCTAGCGGGAGGCTTTCTGTGGGGACATGGATGGTGGAGTCTTCTCCCTAACCCCTACACCCCATAAACTAAACCCTCAACCCTAAATCCTAAGCTCTAAACCCTGAACCCTAAACCCTTAAACCCTAAGCCCTGAACCCTAAACCGGGGTCGTGAGCGTTCATGCAGGCCTCAAGGCCTTTCAGCCTTGGGTCCTTAGTTGGGCTGCATGCAATCCCCCCCCATCAACCATCCACTCCCTTGCGATAACAGTTTTTTTCTTTTTTAATATAGTGCCATTTCATGATTGGGGGAATATGTATTATTAGTAGGGGGTTGGCAGGTCGGGTTTTTGAGGGAGGGGACTAACTGCAATGCTTTCCCCACCTATTTTAGACTTGTTTCCTTGTATTCAGCTGTCCTGAGCATTCAGTCTTTTATTAAGGTTTGTTGAATTCTTTTATGGAGTCTGCGTCCGGGATGAGGGAAGATAAGTACCTGCAAGCCTCATTGCCTTTCACAATTTTGGTTGCTGCTCCGCACCCCACCATAGATCCCAACATCCAAGACACTTGGCCTGCAGGACCTCATAGTTGGAGAAACCATTGATGTCCTGGGCCGCGAAATCGTGCTCTATGACTGCGATGACTTCACGCGCAGTTTCTACAGGAGCTACATGGGCATGGAGCAGGACAGGGAATGGGGTAACAGCAGGTTCAAATCATCTCCAAATATGTCAGCGATGCTGTTGACTTGCTCTTTTGTGCAAGGCATGACAGGATGGACCATTACAAAATGTGGTTTCACCGTGATGTAGTTCGCAGAAGCTGTCCTTTGCTAGCTGGAGGCCAGCATAAAGATTGATCACCCGCCTTTAACGCATGCCTCCTGGCTGGATGCAGTCCTCGCGGCAATTTGGGGTGTGGCATTAGGTTTTTGCATTTTGGGGTCCATGTTGGCGTAGCGAAGCGCTCATGTAGAGGTTCAGGAATGCCGTTTTCAAAGTTGGGCGTTCAGGGTACTGTCTGCGCAGAATCGGCATATGTACTAGCATCTGCAGGTTCCTCGCTTCTCAGGAACACAGGTACCTGGCACGCCACTTGAAATATAGTTGCAGTTTCCCTGTCATTAGTTTTCTCATGAAGAGCAAGCAGCACTGGAGGCGGAGTTCTATTGATATCAACGCATTTGTTCCCATCCAGCCCTTGACTTGCGTTTGGGTTATGTATGGCCTTCAATGTACTTTGGCGTCCGGTTGTTGGCATAGCTCCGGCAGTGGCGTTGTACTTTCTAAGCCTTAATTAAGTTGCTTACTATGGATGTGCTTACTGTTTGCCCAGATTATGCCAACTTCACTTAGCCTCCTTAGGAGCAACCCAGTAATCCCTAGACCCGAAGCTGCGAAACCCTGAACCTAGACCCTGAACCCTAAGCCCCAAACCATGATAAACCCCAAATCCCTAAACCCTAAGCCCTAAGCCCTATAATCCCTAAACCCTAATCCCTAAGCCCTAAACCCTAATCCCTAAACCCTAAACCCTAAACCCCTTAACCTCCAACCGAATGTCCTGGCGCATTTCGCCAAGGTGAAGCTCAAGTACCCGCCCTACAATGGATTTGGGTCTGAGGAGTCCTCCCCGTAATTGGGATCGTAATATTGAGGTTATGTAAGGGTTGCATAGGGCTTATAGGGGTAGCTCTAGAGATTATAGGGGTTACATAGGGCTATAGGGTATATATTGGGATTCTAATAGGGATAATGGAAAAGAACATGGAAACTACAACAGTATATTGTTGTTACATAGGGTTATATAGGGATAATGGAAAAGAACATGGATTATAGTAGGGTATATATTGGGATTGTAATGGGGATAAAGGAAAAGAAAATGGAAACTACTATAGAGCATATAGGGGTTATATAGGGATAATGGGATTTATCATAGGGATCTTAACATTAAGGCCCTGTCTGAGGAGTCTGGCCTGAGGAGTCTGGCGGCCCCAAGCCCCAGAATCCTGCATCCCCTAGAGTGAGTTTAAGGTTTTAGAGGTTTAGATTTCTAGGGGCTTAGTGGTTTAGGGGTTTTGGAGTTCAGGTGTTCAGGGGTTTAGAGGTTTAGCTGTTTAGGGTGTAGGGACCCTGAGGCAGTTACATGCGGTATGCACGGTTATTCAGGGTTGTGTACGGGGTGCATCGAGATATAAAGAGTATAGGGTCTCAAGAATACTGGCGCCATTGTTGGGTCCTTATGAAAGATTTTATCGTATATTGGGATCTACATGACGGCCCCTGAACTACTGGAAACTACTGCAGGATCCATGCGTGGACCCCTAGAATCTCCCGATACTCCCCATAGTTTACCCCTAGGTTTTTCAGGGGTACACTGTTTCCCCAGATATTCCCTATACTATCCCGATAACCCCAGATGCCATATGCAACCCTTTGCAGTGTAGATGCCTTTCCTCCTAGATCTCGTGCTTTTCAGGCAGATGCAGACAAATTGAATGTTTGCCTTAAAAAGATGTTTCTTTTGTCTTTGGGGGATATGAAGGGGTACAGAATTGGGTATGTAAGGAAATTTAAGTTGTATGGGCGAGAGAGAATGAGACCACCAACCTTAAAAACAGTTGCCCACATTGGTACATCTTGTGCAGGGCCTTTTGAACTCTTCGGGGCTCATACGTGTCTCCTCTCCCAGTCTTTCAGATGCTGCTCGGCCATAAACACTGAACCCTTGAAACCCCAAACTGAAACCTTTACATCCTGACCACCCCAAAGGCCAAAGCCCCAGAGTAGACACTATTATTCCGATTATTCTTACTATTACGATTACTTTGACTATTACTATAACTGTTGCTATTCTTATGACTAGAATTAATACTCCTATTTCTAATATGACTGCTATTACTATTATTACTAGTGTTACTATTATCATTATGACTATTACTATTAAGTATTACTTTTATTACTACTATGTCTGCAGGAAGATTCCCTCGCAAGCTGCAAGGGCCTGGTAGGCAAGCCGCCTCGCCGGGATGAGCAGAAGGACGCAGCCATCGCGCCCATGTCAGAGTTTCCGAAAATTGGAGGTTTAGGGTTTAGGGCTTAGGGTTTAGGATTTAGGGTTTGGGGTTTAGGGTGAAAATTAGGGCTTCTTTCTATGGAGCATATAACATATTGGGTTCCATGGAGAAGTATAAGGATATGTAGGGTTCAGGAGCTGAGGGTTTGCAACACGTAGGGGCCACTTCAGGCTTTAGGGGAGATCTAAAGTTTTTGAGTTCCAAGAATTGGGTTGCTGTTAAGGAACTTAAGTTAAGTTACTCTAATGGGTATATATAGTAATTTATAGGGTTTCCCCAATATAGTAACTTAATTTAAGTTCCTTAACAGCAACCCAGAAAATTGGGGTCCATTTCTGTAGGGAGGGCAAACTACGGAGTATCATAGCACATTGGGGCCTTTATCGGGGAGCGTAATCTATGGACACCCCCGTCTAGACAAATTCAGACATTCAAAAGTTCAGCACCAAGGCGGTTATTCGAGCGCATATACGAGGAAACATGCTGAGGCTTCTTTTCATTTTGGTACAGCCACGGTGCTTGCATGGTCCAGTTCAAGCAGCGGTACACCTGGTCTTCCTTGTTTCCATCCCACCCGAACCTGAGCGGCATGAAATTTTCGGAGATCTTTGACATTCCCTAAGACCCTAAGAATGAGGCCCCCAGTGTGGGGACATGCTTGAGACAAAGAAGAGAGGAGTGAGAGGAGTAGAGTTGGAAAGGGTTTTCCCTCACAAGGATTGAATACATACCCAGTACAGCCTTGGCTGATTTTTCCTTTGCCCCCAGCCTTTAGACCGACCCCATCACTTTGATTCTGCCTACCAGGAGCTAGCAGATGCAGACAAGGCACCCGCTGAGCCTGTTCGCTGCGAGCTCTACTTCTTAGACTTTGGTTTTCGATGTTACGTTTCGGGAGGCAATAGTGTTATTGTTCTGTACCACGCTGGCAAGCGCAACCTGGAAAATGCTGGTATTGAGCAGCACGGCAAAGGATGTACTTGTGTTTACTACACATTCGCCATGAAGTGCGTACTCATACAGCATCATCTACCGCCCAGTTCGCACTCATGCGTAGAATTATCGCTGCAATGGGGTTTCATAGCCGTTCATGATGGATCCTAGTATCTGTTACGAATCAGGAACCTGCGTGAGTCTACAGTCCCAAACCCTGAACCTAAGATCAAAACCAGGCTTCCACATGATTCAATCAGCAAAACGAACAATGTTTCTCCATCACATTTCGGTCTGTGCAGGTGCTCCGTTTCGAAGCTGTTCTAGCTGATGACGTGGAGGACAAGTCACGAGTGTGAGGTGTTGTATTGGCGGCTATCTTATACTGGGATAATGGAAAAATGGAAACTACTACAGTATATTGGGATTTGCAGGCTTCGATTTCCAAGTCTTACAGTCAAAATAGGGTGAAAATTGGGAAATGGAGAATCAAATGGCAAAGACATTGGAACATGAAATGGAAGCTAGGCTAGGGTTATATAGGGGTATATGTAGCGGTTTTACACAGAAGGGGCGAAGAGGGGGGAAGATGCTTGGAGGCGCTAGTGTGGGCTGCTGTATGTCAAAAGCACTGTGGTCAAAGAGCCAGCTCGGCTTCTGGAGTTTTTTGACATCCGCAGTTCACAATCTCTTGACTCGTCGATCTCTACATCTGAATTGGAGCTGAGGGAGGTAGAGCTTGGGCGCTGAGTAACCCCCAAACATGATATAAGGGTTTGCGGCAAAGGTGAGCATCCAAATTATCGAGAGGACTTGGCAAGTAAGATCTTACACAGTGCTAGGCTCGATAGTTGGGGACTTGCGGCCGAGGGCTTGTGAAATTCGGATGGTATGCTCAAGACAAATTGGAGGCCATTGTCGTAAGCGCCCTCGCACCTACTTTCCAGGTCAGAACTTTCTCAACTCTCTGTTGACTTACTGGTGGGTACTAGGGAAGAGCGGAATATATTATATAGGGGTTGTAAAAGGAACATGTTCCCTTATTCCCTACAAGTCCCATGCATCAAGTACCAACTTCAAGGCTCTGAAGCCATCTGCGAATCTTGGGACACTGGCTCGGCCGGCCATGATATCATCATGTGTCGGAAGGGCCGAATGATGCTTTCAAGGCTTCGGATGAGAGTGAAGAAGAAAACTAGTCTAAACCCTAAGCCCCATCATAGTAGTTTCTTTTTCTTTTCCATAATCCCTATATAACCCGATACCCTAGAGTTTCCATTTTATTCTCTATGATCCCCCAACCTTCTTCCTACTAATCCTACTAGTACAGTGATGTTTTGTGGTTTCCCAAAGTTAGGGGTACCTTTTTTAAGTTCCCCATAATAAGGACCATAGTAGTTTGGGGAAAACATCGGGGTACATTAGAAATGGGGAAACTACCTTTTTTTGTTTTTGAGGCAACAGCGTAGTTTCGCAAGCTCCTACCATGGCAGGAGAACACGAACCGAAGATTTGTGGTGGCCCAGCAAACCTCTACATATACCCGGTCTCCATTTCATTTTCCATTTTCTTTTCCGTTTGATTCTCCATTAATTCTGGGGGGATAATATCATCACAGGAGAACGAGAACCGAAGATTTGTGGTCGCCATCTGGCTTGGTGATGACAGTGTGGGGGCCGCTTGCTCAGCAGCATCACTTCAGCTTGGATCTTGTCTTGGCGCATTCCGGCTGTACGTTTGGGTCATTGCACTAGTGATAGTGATTGTAATGGTAGTAGTATTAGTAATAGTACTAGCAATAGTGGCAGTAATAGCAATAGCAATAGCAATAGCAATATTCATAGCTATAGTAGTAACTGATAGTAATAG